GAGAGAGGCCTTTATGAATTAATTTTGCAAAATCAGGTGCCCAAGAACCAAGCCAAATCAGGCCAAAAATGGGGGACACACCTCACAGCTCCTCTGAAAGCATATTATCCTCTAGTTAGCAAGCGCCTTCCCACGGTTCCTCATTGGCTGAGTATTATGGGGTTAACAATCTTTGTGGAGAGTCACCTAAATGTTTTCCCCATTCCCTGCAACCTCCCACCCCTTCTGCTTTCTTACTGCATCCAGTTCCCACATTCCATACCCCAGGTGCTTGTCCTAGTGGTTATCAACTGGTGCCCTGGTTATTTAGTAACTACCCGACTCTGCTCTCTGTTTGTTGAAGGTGGACCAGCCTGGTGACTTATTTCTCCCAGGGGGAAATTAATCACATTGGCTCTGAGTTGCAAGGAAAAGTAGTGTTTACCTACCGTTAAATATCAAAAAAAAACCCCAGTGTTTATTCTGCCCCCTGCTCATAGGAACTGTGAAGTCTTAGTAGCCATATGCAAAGGACTCTTAAGTCCTACTTGAGAGGGAAGATGGTGTGGTCTACTTAGCAGCCATTGTAAACCAATTCTCTTGGAGCTTCAGACTCTCACTCCAACTAGCAACCAGAACCTCCACTCGGAAGACCCTTAAGCACCCAAAGGTAACATTTCAAAAACGGAATTCATCACCTTCCCTTCTAAACTGACCCTTCCTGGCACCTCATCTCCACATCCAAGCTTTTCTAGTTCTCCCTCCCAAATATCTTTTGAATTTGTTTCTTCTCCATTTCCATTGGCACTACCCTAGTTGATGCCACACTCCTTTATTGCCAAAGTCAAACCCACAGCTATAGAGTTGATTCTAATGCATAGTGACCCTGTGTGCTTTCTGAGACCATAAATCTTTAAGGGAGCAGATAACCTCATTTTTCTCCCAGTCAGTGGCCGGTAGTTTTGAACCTGGACACGAGTGGTCTAATGCTTACACACCAAAGCCACTAGTACTGACTCCCTTTCTTGCTTTCATAAGTAAAATAGTATTTTATCTCTTCTCCCTGAGTCTGCTCTGTATTCTACTCTTATCTAATCTACTGTTTACCTAGCAACATTAATATTGAGAATGTAAATCTCACCACATTAACTTTCTCCTCCCCCTCCACACTGCTGAAAAAAACATGTCCATGTCTCTTTTTACCTGGAAGGTAAATTCCAAGCTCCTCATATGGCAATGTGTTCCCAATGTCTTGTCTGCTAAAGTTCTATTCACCTTTTAAAGTTCAAACTTAAGACCTATCTTCTTTTCCAGGTAGCTTTTCCTGACATTCCAGATAGAAGGGAGTAAACATACCCTGTTTCCAGTTTTCACCTCTATTTTTGCATTATATCACTTAAACTTAAAATAAAATCTGTGTATTTTATTAAGGAGCCCTGGTGGTGTAGTGGATGTATATTGGTCTGCTAACTACAAGGTCGGTAATTGGAACAACCCCCCCACCACCGCAACCACACCTCAGGAGAAAGATGTGGCTCTCTACTCCCATAAAGAGTTACAGTCTCGGAATCTAAAGATGTAGTTCCACTCTGTCTTACAGGATTGCTATTAGTTACCACTGTCGATGACATTAAGGGATTTGTTTTGTTTTAATTTGGGTATGATTGTCTGGTGGCACTATTGGGTAAACTTGGACTGTGAACCAGAATGTCTTTGGTTCAAGGAATAAAGATGTGGCAGTTGGCCCCCATAAAGATTACAGCCTCAGACACCCTATATAGCGTCACTATGAAATAGGCTCCACTGGTTGGCAGCGAGTTTAATTTTGGTTTGAAAATGACTGCAAGTCCCTAAGGGCTGAGCCATTTTTGGTTAATTTCTTTGTCTCTCATCCCATACCGAACCCATTGTCATCATGTTTATTGGACTCATAGAGGCGGTGGCAGCAAATCAATTCATCATAGTTACAGATGAGACTACAGAAGTCGGAAAGATAGTCCTCTAGTAGTATTTCCTGAATGCTCCCCCCCAACCCACTACCATGAACCAGTTCTACCTTACAAATCTGGCTGGCCCAGAGAACACACACTGGTACAGAGAAGAGCTCTGGACAAACGGTATTCAGGACAGATAGAGCCCTCAGGATCAGTAGTGGGAGTAGTGAAATCATGAGGGTAGGGAAGGTGCTCGAGGAGGGGGAAGAGGGAGAAAGGGGAAACCCATTACAAGGTTGGATATATAGCCCCCCGCCCCCATGAAGGGGACAAATAACAGAAATGTGAAGAGAGACAATGGGCAGTGTAAGATACTAAATAATAACAACAATATATAATTGATCAAGGATTCAAGAGGGTGGGAGCGTAGAGGAGGGAGGGGGAAAAAAGAAGAGCTGATACCAAGGGCTCAAGCAGAAAATGTTTGGGAAATGATGATGACAACATATGTACAAATATTTCTGATAGAATTGATGTATGGAATGTTATAAGAGCTGTAAGAGTCCCCAATAAAATGACTTTAAAAAATAGTAAGTTGTGTAAATAATACAAGGGAATAGTGCATGGTTTAACATCAGGAAAGATGTGAGTTGGGGTTGTATCCTTTCACCATATCATTCAATCTGTATGCTGAGCAAATAAACAGGGAAGCTGGATTATATGAAGAAGAATGTGGCATCAGAATTGGAGGAAAGTTTATTAACAATCTGTAATATGCAGACTACATGACCTAGCTTGCTGAAAGTGAGGAGGGATTGACACATTTGCTGAGGAAGATCAAGGATGGCAGCCTTCCGTCTGGAGTACAGCTCAATGTAAAGAAGACCAAAATCCTCACCACTGGACCAATAGGCGACATTATTATAAATGCAGAAAAGATAGATGTATCCTGGATTTCATCTTGCTTGGATATACAATCAATGGTCATGGAAAACAGCAGTCAAGAGATCAAAGGGCACTGTGTTGGGTAAATCTGCTGCACAAGACCTCTTTAACGTGTTGAAAAGCAAGGGGGTTAGTTTGCTGACTAAGGTGCACCTGACTCATGCCATGATATTTTCAGTTGCCTCATACGCATGTCTGAGTTGGGCATTTAATAAGGCGACTGGAGAAGAATGGACACATTTGAATGGTGGCGCTGGTGAAGAATACTGAAAGTACCATGGCTGCCAAAAGAACAAGCACACCTGTCTTGGAAGTACAGCCAGCATGCTCCTTAGAAGCCAAGACAGGAAACTGCATCTCCCCTACTTTGGACGTGTCGCCAAGAGAGATGAGTCCCTGGACTAGGGTCAGGGGAAAGAGGACTGCCCTGACCGCGTGGCTACGACAATGACCTCAAGTAGGGGACATTTGTGAGGATGGTGTGGGAGCGGGCTGTGCTTACTTCTGTTGTTGGAACCGACTCATTGTCACCGGACAACAACAACAAGACAGTTATTCTAACGACCCAGAACTCCCTTGGTTCTTCTGGTCCGACCAAACACTGAAGTTTTTGTTGTTTTCCACTCATACGATCCAAATATCAAAAGTTTATAACAGGAGCTTCATGCCCACTGCTGTCGCTCCTGCTTCTGGCCCACCCCTGTCGCGCCGTTTCCTCACTGACCATGTTTATTAGTGCAATGGGAAGACCTGACATACAATGCTAAGTAAATATGGGAGATTCGCTCTTGAGTACTTTTGAATTTTCTTCACAATATCTCTGGTCTCCTCAAATAAATTGTAAGCATCCTGAAGAGACGTCTGATGTTTCATGTTATTTTCTTGACTAAGTCATGTTTCAAGCTTCCCACGGCTCCTTTATCCGCGTGCTCTTGCTCTGAAAGCGTCTCCTCCACCCTCCACCCTGGTCTCTTTTCTTGGACAACTTCCATCCAACTCCTCAGGTGATGGCTTGACAGCTAAGCCACTCAGACAGGTGTCACCACTGCACTGCAGACTTCCCGTCGCTCGGCACACCAGCCTGATCTGTCACTGCTTGCTGAATCATCCCCCTACCCTAATACAATGCATACCTCATAAAACCAGAGATCCTTTTATCACCAGAATTCGGGGGAGCGGCATAAAGTTGATGCATACCAAATATATCGATGAAACGACGAACACATGGCTGCTAACTCTGCACAAAACTGTTGAAAGGTACACCTCAAAGAAGTGGACTTTCTGGTAGGCAAATTATATACCAAGGTTCTTAATAAATAAAAAATGAGTTAATAATATCATGAAGGACACATAGATGGCATTTGATAATTACATATTCTTTGCCTGGATTTGGGATAGGGGCTATAGAGTACTCTCTTTTAGAATCAGCTCTATGGTTCCCAACTGTCCACAGAAATATTCTCACTGAATGAGATCACAACTAAAAGGTTGATCATGTCCCATAGCATATCCTTCTTTACATGTAGTATAAAATGACAAGGATGGTCGCCTCTGGGGTTAACAGGTTATGCCCATGACCCATAAGGTCTTTGGCTTATCAATGTAACTCTCAGGCTGAAAAGTTTACAGCTAAATAAATGAGAAGATCAAGCCCCTACTGATCCATTCTGTCTCTGGCTTGCTTTGTAACAAGCTGTAATGTGCTGTCATGGGTCACTGGGTCTGAGGTCACTCCCTTTTCTCTCATAAATGAAATCAGCAACTGAACTGGAAGACCCCACGTTGGGCTTGTCTAGTGAACTTGCTGCAGCCTAAGTGTTTAGGGCGCCCAAAGCCATATTCTTGCTTGGCATCTATAAGTGCCCAAGAATCTCTTGATTTCCTCTTCCCACCATGGTGGCCTGATGTAACAGGAGCCTCCACATCCAGAAAGTCAGTTATGGACTCCCACCCTCCCTCCAAGGCCGTGCAAAGCACATTGAGGCGGAAGCATTCCTCTAATATTTCCATGCCATCATTCCCTTTCTGGCCGGGGTAAGATGGACGGGTAGGGTCACCATGGGAATGAACACCCAAGTTTGAGTCAAGAGAATCACCCCCACCCCAAGCTGAAGGCTTTAAACAGAAAGAAAGACTGATTACCCGTAACACAAGCACTCCCATGTGAGCCACTGCCAGGTGGATCTGCAGCCCCTCACCATCACTGGCAGGGTGAGGCCTGATGCCGTACATCTCCAGCTTGCTTGCTATGTCCAACAGAAGAATGTCAGATTCAGCTGGGCTCCGACCACTGCAAGAGGCAAGAACGTATGCGTCGAATGAATGCACCAATCCTACACCTTTAGCCTAGAGCGTCTCAGACAAAAAGGCTTGGTTTGAAGAGCGTGTTCCCTAGCTTTCTTACCTTCCACGAAGGACACTCTGGTTCGGGGCCTGAACAATGAAGCACCTAAGAAGCCAGCGCCCTTCTGTCTGTGGTTGTATGTGGCTGAGATGTTGAATAAAGTTCAGCAGGGCTTCCAGACAAGGGCTGACTACCTGTTAGACAATCAGTCAACGAAAACCCTACGGTTCGATTGCTAACTGACCATGAAGGTGGCGTACGGTCAGGCAGCATTTCATCGTGCATGTGGTCACCAAGAGTCAGGGCTGACATGACATGACACCAGCTAACAACAGCAGCAAAAAGTAGTGGAATCAGGAGCCAATTAAAGTACTCACATGTGATTCTGATGAAAGTGCAGGATCTTGCTCTCTAAACAGTCTTGGTTTGGTAAGTACCGGGTTTGTGCCAGATGTTTCCTATCTGTTTCTTCATGAAAGTTTCCCAGTTCTGCTGCATGACAGAAACATGACATTCTTGACATTACCATTGAGGAGTTAAGCAATGAATCACACAGCAGACCCTCCAACTTCCTCCATATAGCCTCTCCTTTGCAGCCAAGGCAACACTGGGTCTCCCATGCCACGCTGTATGCATGTTTGTGTTCCAATAGAGGAAAAGGAATTTCTTCTTCTTTGGAATCAGAAGCAGTAGGTTGCTATTAAGGGTCAGTCACAGGCACAGTGTAAGCTTCAGGATCACAGCTAAAAAACTTGTGAGGTTTTTCTTCTTCCACATTCTTTTTTTTTTTTTTTTTTTTAAGAGACGGGGTCTCGCTATGTTGCCCAGGCTGGAGTACAGTGACTATTCACAGGCGCGATCCCACTACTGATCAGCACGGGAGTTTTGACCTGCTCCATTTCCGACCTGGGCCGGTTCACCCCTCCTTAGGCAACCTGGTGGCCCCCCGCTCCCGGGAGGTCACCATATTGATGCCGAACTTAGTGCGGACACCCGATCGGCATAGCGCACTGCAGCCCAGAACTCCTGGACTCAAGCGATCCTCCAGCCTCAGCCTCCCGAGTAGCTGGGACTACAGGCGCGCGCCACCACGCCCGGCCCACATTCTTTTTTTAAAAACCATTTTATTAGGGGCTCATACAACTCTTATCACATTCCATACATACATCAATTGTGTAAAGTGCATTTGTACATTCATTGCCCTCATCATTCTCAAAACATTTCTTCTCCACTTAAGCCCCCTGCATTAGGTCCTCATTTTCCCCTCCCTCCCTACTCCCCCCTTCCTCATGAGACCTTGATAATTTATAAATTGTTTTTTTTGACATATCTTGCCCTATCCGATGTCTCCCTTCACCCACTTTTTGGCTGTCCATCCCCCAGGGAGGAGGTCACATATAGTTCCTTGTAATTGGTTCCCTCTTTCCAACCCACTCTCCCTCTACCCTCCCAGTAACACCACTCACACCACTGATCCTGTAGGGATCATCCGCCCTGGATTCCCTGTGTTTCCAGTTCCTATCTGTACCAGTGTACATCCTCTGGTCTAGCCAGACTTGCAAGGTAAATTCGAGTCATGGTAGTGGGAGCGGGGAGGAGACATTTAGGAACTAGAGGAAAGTTGTATTTTTCATCGTTGCTACATTGCCCCCTGACTGGCTCATCTCCTCCCCAGACCCCTCTGCAAGGGGATCTCCAGTGGCCTACTAATGGGCTTTGGGTCTCCACTCCACACTCTCCCCATCATTCATTATGGTAAGATTTTTTGTTCTGATGATGCCTTACACCTGATCCCTTCGACACCTCGTGGTCGCATAGGCTTGTGTGCTTCTTCCATGTGGGCTTTGTTGCTTCTGAGCTTGATGGCCGCTTGATTACCTTCAAGCCTTTAAGACCCCAGGCGCTATACTTTTTGATAGCCGGGCACCATCAGCTTTCTTCGCCACATTTGCTTATGTGCCCATTTGTCTTCAGTGATCCCTTCGACACCTCGTGATCACACAGGCTGATATGTTCTTCCATGTGGGTTTTGTTGCTTCTGAGCTAGATGGCCGCTTTGTTTACCTTCAAGCTTTTAAGACCCAGATGCTATATCTTTTGATAGCCGGTCACCATCAGCTTTCTTCACCACATTTGCTTATTCACCGCTTTGCCTTCAGCCGTTGTGTCCAGAAGGTGAGCATCATAGAATGCCAATTTAATAGAAGAAAGTATTCTTGCATTGAGGGTCTTCTCTCACATTCTGTTTATGATCTTTCGTACTTCCAATCAGCCTACCACCCTCAGTCCATCCTAATCATACATTATTAAGGAAGGAGCAATATATGTGCCGATTACAATGCAAACCACTCACACTCACTCACTGGCTAGCATGGAGTCAATTCTGACTCACATCAACTCTACAGAACAGGGTAGTATTGCCCTTGTGGGCTTCTAAAACTGTGACTCTTTACAGGAGTAGAAAGCCCCATCTTTGGGTGCATAAGCAAATGTGGTGAAGGAGGCTGATGGTGCCTGGATATCAAAAGATATAGCATCTTGGGTCTTAAAGGCTTGAAGATAAAGAAGCAGCCATCTAGCTCAGAAGCAACGAAGCCTACATGGAAGAAGCACAACCAGCCGGTGTGATCATGAGGTGTCGATGGGACCAGGTATCAAGCATGTAAGACCAAGAACAAAATCATACCCAATGTGAATTGGGGGTGGGGGGCATGGAGTGGAGACCCAAAGCCGATCTGTAGATGACAATTGGCCATCCCCTCACAGAAGGACCGGTCACAAGGAAGAGATGACCCAGTCAGGGTGCAGTATAGCACTGAAGAAACACACAACTTTCCTCTAGCTTTTTGGTGCTTCCTTCCACCTGCTATCATGACCTCAATTCTCCCTTACAAATCAGATAGGACCAGAGCATACACACTGCTACATATAAGAGCCAGAAATAATTGAGATAACAGGACGATAAGGGGAAGGTGGGGGGAGGGGATAAAGGGGGAATCAATCACAAGGATCAATATGTAACCCCCTTCCAGGGGGGCGAACAACAGAAAAGTGGATGAAGGGCAACAGAGGATGATGTAAGAAATGAAAATAATAATCTATAACTTATCAAGGGTTTATGAGGGAGGGTGGGCGGAGGAGGGAGGGAGAGGAATGAGGAGCTGATATCAAGGGCTCAAGTAGAAAGAAGATGCTTTGAAAATGATTATGGCAGCATGTGTACAAATATGCTTCACACAACAGATGATAGTGTGGATTGTGATAAGAGATGTAAAAGCCCCCAATAAAAGTATTTTGAACCATTGCTACAGCCCCTTTTTGACTCATCTTGTCGAAGGTCTTTCTCTCTGTCGCTGCCCCTCTAGTTTACCAACCATGAAGTTATTTTCATGGACTGGCTTCCCCTGATAACATGTCGAAAGTATGTGAGACAAAGTCTCCCTGTCCTGGCTTCCAAAGGCATTCCGGCTGTACTTCTTGGCAAACCTATCTGTTGGTTCCTTTGGCAGTCCACAGAGCAGAGGCATCCCAGCCTGTTAGGGCTGTTTAAATAGACACACCGTGGACCCCAGGTTGAGTGCTGGCAGCCTTTTTCATTTTAGTTTTCCATTATGCTGTAGACAGGTGACACTCATTTGCAGACAAAATAGGTCACAGTTACCAGGAGTGAGTGGGAACGGGCAGGGGGAGTTAATGCTTAAGGTGATGGAAAACTTGGAAATGCAGAGTGGTGAATGTGATCAATTTCATTGACCTGTAACTATAAACATGGTTTAACTAGCAAATGTTTTGTTACAGATAACCACACAAAAGCTAAAACCACTGAAAAAGCTGGGGGGGAGTGGAGGTAGCTAAGTGTAGACACAGCGGAGGGTGCTTCCGAGCAGACAGTAGGAAGTGAGGCTGGAGAAACAGGTTGGGGTCAGATGAACCGCAGCAGGCATGCTTAGGAGATTGTCTTTGAGTCAGTAGGCAAAACCAAGCCATCTTTCAACCATTTGAAAACAGAGGAAGTACTTAGGAGGTGGGTTTGGGAAATACCCCTCAAGGGACAATATGAAAGGATAATCCATTCATTGAACAGAGAGTTCTTGAGCTTCTACGATGTACCAGGCAAAGTTTCAAGCTTTAGAGATGCTGCAGGGAAAATAAGCAACCACCCTTAACATAGAGCTAAGATGCAATAGAGGAAAGACAAGTACTAAGCAAATAAATGAGTAAAGCCTATGCTGGCAAAGGTAAGAACTGGGGGAAGAACGTTACAGTGGAAATCCAGGTAAGAACCAAATGGGGAGGAAATATGTTTCTAAAAAGAGAATCAGGAATTCCTCACTTAAAAGGTCACATCTACACTCTAGCAAATCATCGGAGAAGCTGGGCTATCTGAAAAAGAGAACAGCACCAGGATGGGAGAAGGGCTCATTAACAACCCGGGAGACGGCGAAGAAACAGCCTTGCTTACTGAAAGCAAAGGTGCCAGCAAGGTGCCTGGCAAAAACCAAACACGGCAGCCTCCAGTGTGGATCCCAACTAAAATGAAGGGGCACAAATCAGATTAAACAACTGGTTCGCAGTCTTCCTGATGCTGCGACTCTTTCATACAGTTCCTCTTGTGGTGGTGACCCCCCAACCATAACGTTATTTACGTTGCTACTTCATCACTGTCACAGGCGGTCACGACCCACAGGTTGAGAACCGCTGGAGAAGATTGACAGAGAATGACCTAGGAGAAGGGAAGGATAAAAAACCGTAAGAGGGAGAAGAGATACCAGTGTGGGAGTGGGGGAGAGAAGCGGTTTGAACTGATGAATGCAGTTGATGGTCTGGAATGTAACCTTCCCCTACGTAAGTCACAATACAAATTTCATTTTAAAAAAGGAAAAAAAAATCTCACAACTGGACTGATAAGCAATGATGAGTGGAGAAAAGAGGGACATTGTCAAGGATTTCAATGTCATTGGATCTACAATGAGTGCTTATGGAGGCAATCATTACGGCATGCTGCAGTGGGCAAATCTGAGGCTAAAATGTTAAAAAATCAAAGTGTCATTTTGTGCATTAAAGTGCTTCTGACCTTTATTGAAACCACATCATGTATGTATTTGCTCAGCATCGAAGAAAAGCATTTTAGCTTAGGTATAATCATAAAGACATGTTAATTTATAAAATCAATTCTTCAAAATCTTTTCAGTATGTACTCTAAAGAAATTGGTGATTTAAAAAAACATAAAAATGGGAAAAGGCTCAAGACAAGTGATACAAATAAATAAACAAATAAATAAATATTTCGTTACCATTTGAAACAAAGAGTCTGAAAGAGAAAAATTAAGTGCTTCTGATCCAAGCTACGGTATTTTCAATTGTCTCATATGCATGCAAAAGCTGGGCAATGAATATGGACGACCAGAGGACCGAGGCCTCTGATGTTTGGCCTTGGCAAAGAGCGAACCGCTAGAAGAAGGAACACGGCTGTCTTGGAAGAAGTACAAAAT